TTAAAATATTGATATAAATAGTGTCATACATTCCTTCAACATTTTCAGAAAATCAACTTGTAGTGACACCATCATACATGCTTCTCCAAGGCATCCAATGTCTTACAAACTTACTGTGTTCCATAGTTTGTTATACAGGCTTATCATTATACCCTTATCAACTGAAGATTATGAAACTGAATTCAAAACAATAAAACAAATTGCTGTCAACAATGGTTATACATTAAAGTTAATTTACACATTATTGTTTAAAATATCAAAGGCCATTAACTTAAAATCACTATACCCACATACTGTACTAAATGACAAAAAACAAAGAAATGACATAAGATAAGCTACATTGGGAAACCTTATTATAAAATGTATAACCCACTAAACAAAGACACCTATAGACTTGCATTCTACTATGTAAACAATCTGGGCAAAACGATATGTAACAACATAGGCCAAACTGAAAAATATAGCCACAATGGTATTTACCAATTAACATGTCAAGACTGTAAGTGTATATATATAGGTCAGACAGGATGTCCCATAGAAACAAGAGGCTGAAAATTAGAGAAAATGGGTTCAACCTTTGCATTCCACAATTTCATTCACAAAAAAAACTATAACATTTTTCATGTTTGTGAAAAAAAGTGAAAAACTAAATAACCTGGAAATTGTAGAAATAAATATAAGTATAAAAACAAATGCAGACAAAGTTCTTAACGACCAAATCAACTTAAGCTCCTCCCCACTTGCCTAAGGGTGAATATGAAGATTACTTCTGGTTCATTGGTTAAATGTATATTAATATATCTGTTTACAAGCTACTTCGGTCTGTTCCTGATAATGCCTTACATATAATACTATGTAGTGGTATCTCAAATTATCTTCATCTAAGACATTTTTCTTTAATTTCCACAATTTTTAAAGACATGTTATTATGTTCTAAGGGAATGTTCAAGCCTAGTATCAGTATTAAATCAAATGACGCTCCTGAAGTGTGTAGAATGTGCTAAAGAAAGGTGAACTATAAAAAGCGAGATTGAAATTTCAGACAAATTTTCTCAATAGTATCTTAAAAATTTTATTGGATTTATTATTTATATCATTTTTAAGGTAGAGAAATTCCAAAGTTTCATATTTAGATAATGTTTTGAAAAACTTAGAATTTAATATTCTTTTATTATCGACCATAAAGTTCCATTTTATATACACAGTTTCAACTTTCATATTTCTATTAAAATAAATGAAATAATGGTATTCAATAACATATTTCTGTTGGTAACTTATTTTTCTGTTTGAAGCTTTCACCACTTTGGGCCAATATCATAAAAAATAAAACATATCAAAAAACTAACGAAGCTTTATCAACAACCTAAGACTGTGGTCTCGCCTTTCACAATAATGTTACCATTACTTGTCAGGCTATAGTTATTGTAATTTTTGCCAACAACTGTCTCGGTTAAGATCAATTTATACTTATTAAATATAATTTGTTCTCAACAAATAGTATGTTGTTTCATTTGTGTAGGTTGTATGAATACGATAAACTTAATAATATTGAATAAAAAAGGATTTGGGTGATCTCAATAGTTTGCTGTCACTTACTGCATTCGCTAAACGTAACTAAGTTTACCTAAGTTTTTTTCTATTAAAATGGGGTTAAATAATCAAATTACATTTATTTTGTAATGATTATAAGATAATAAATACCTGAAAGAGTAAGCTTCTCCGTTTGTTTCATCCAATATCCTTTGGAGTAAAGCTTCTCCTGCAAGCTGTTGTGTAGTTTTAGGTTTCTGATCATGAAGATGATTTTGATTTTGGTCTTCACGACTGTCTTCATCCTCCTTGTTGCCACTACCAAGAGATGTCGGACCACTAAAAAAGAAGAAATTAATACAGATTAAACTAAGAAGAGAAGTGAATTTACCTAAACCTGTTTTAATAGTGAATGATATAGCTAGATCAGACATTACACATTTGCAACAGATTATATAAAACGTTTTATGTTCAAAATGACAGAGAGAGAGAGAATAAAATGCTCAAAATATTAAAATTGGAGTTCATTTGTTTTGTAAATTACAATACTTTCAACAAAACTGATGAAGATATTGAGTATTATCCAATAAATTATCTAATGTAACAAATTTTGTAATTTGTACATCAAAAATATGTGCATGCTATCTTAAGTTGTTTTCAACTTAAGGTTGCTAAACTTTGTCTCACACAAAATATTTGTTCAGTATCATTGGAGAGTTTTGTCCAAGACACATCTTTTCCAAAATCTAATATAACTAATTGCAATTTACTGAACCTTATAAGTTCTATTACTAACCTTCTCTATACAATCTACTTCAAAATAATTCTTAAAAATTTTAATGTAAATGCTCTTTTAACGTCAAATACAAGATATTCTAAGCCTAATCACTACGACATCTATATACACTCGCATTCTTATAATAGTAATGCAAACCTATAATGCGATTAACTTGATCTCAATATGCTGTTGAACTCTAGAATTGGAGAAAATTCTAGAACGTATCTCTTACCATTTACGATTATACTAATAGCTGTTGTTTATAATGCATGCTTATTGATGAAAAGACCACACACACGCACATAATGTGTATCAGAACTTTAATTTAATGTAAATTCATTCTTATTATAAAATAAATTGGAAAAAGGTTTCTATTGTCAGGCACTTCAGAACACATCTATCACATTCAACCATCATTAAATGCGTGATTGGCTCATGTATTTTTTGAATGTGAAGATTTATGAGATAATATAATATTCTGTTATTATGTAGTATGTAATAACAAGTGTTCAAGAAAACATATTTAAAAAATAACTGTATAAAAAATTAAGTACGTTCTGAGAAATGCTCAACGCACAACACTACATCAAAAATACTATTATCATAAACAATTTTAGAATTTATGCTGTATAATTGTAAACCTGATTCCTTTAGTGAGATAAAAATAAGCATAATAAAAAAGTGACATTTTTAACATCCAGTGAAAAGGTACAGTATTCAACTACTTTTGTGAAGCATGAAAAGAATTTGGATTTAATGAAAAAAGATTTACCACCTTTGGACTATAATAAAGTGCCACTGGAATATTACTATGCACTCCTTTTAGTGAAAAATCCATATTGAACTTGTGTTTAAATATATAAGTTTTATTTTCTTGTTTCATTGAACATCTAATTCTAACCTCAGGATTTTTAAGTTTAATATGTGCATGTTCAGTTAACAAATGATTGATGTTAATGAAACAAAACTGTTTCATACAGCAAGTCTAGTTTTATCAACTTAGCACAAACAATTCGGAATGTATAAATGTTAAAATTTACATACAATTTAATAAAAAATTATATAAAACTCTCAGTTGAGAATTTCATTTTTTTTTATTGTTGAACAGAAAGTTCCATTTTATATAACCAATTAGAAAGTTTCAGATTGATTGATTTATTAACATATTTCTTTTACAGTAATGTGCAAAAAACATTAAAAGGTTAGGGGGCTCACTGACAAAAAAAAAGATCACTCTTCAAGCATTGCAAGACAAATCTTTTTTTTTGGGGGGGGGAGTAGATGTTAGGGGAACTATGGGGATTGTGGGTTGCCGCTGGTGCACCAAGGGTAAGCAGGCATATCTTTTAGTAGTTATGGACTTTTTATGACTGAGAAAAAGGGCACTTTTGGAGCATAAGAGCAAAAAGGCAGGTGCTTGAGCTCACCCAGCCACTCCCTTGCCTACATTACTGTTTTTTCAATACTTTATTTTGCCGTTGCAGTAATTACCATTTCTGGCTATAAATCATAAAAGAAACAACAGAAACTGAAGATGATTTATTAGATGACCTAGTATCTGACCACTCGAAATGATATCAGGTCAGGCTAGGTAAAAAATTTTCTAACAATATTCTTGGTCGAGTTCAATTTATATATAACAAATATTGTTTCTTTTTAAAATAGTAAAGATTATTTTATTTATGTCTGCTGTTTGAACAATTTAAACATTAATTTAAATAAGGATTTTAGTCATCAGAATCTGTTGCTACTGTACTCGTTAAACCTAACTAAAGTTACCTGATGGCTTATCACAAAAGAAAATTTCATTAGCTTTCAAACAAATAAAAGTTAACACAAAAATATTTCAGGAACTAAAAGAACATCTAAAGAAAGTATCAAAGAATTCTTGGGTCTGTGTTTGTTTTCTAAATTTCTCATTAGTTCTGTTGTCCTTCCTTTGCAGGAGCTTCATCTAATCACTATCCCATAACACCATATATTACTATTCATAGTACTTTATTCACTCCACAATGATCTAAATAGTTTATAACCTGCTCTATCCATTTAAACTTTGCTTTTAGCTATTTACAAAGCTGATCTTCATTCGTTGTTATTCAGACCACATGATGTGGCATCATAAAAAAACGTGAGAACATAGGCATGTGATAATAAACCCTCACATACAGAAGTAAAATTATGAGTCAAACAAAATTAGCTAATTGTATTCTCAATGAATGATAGTTCTTACGAAACAAAAAACAATATTTTATTATAAGCAGAAAAAACTGAAATGCATTGTTTACAAATGAGATCCTTCAGGCCTACACAAAAATACAAGTTTTCGTTTTTTTTCTTTTTTTTGGTGAATTATACTAAATAAATGTTAAAATGACAAAATATCAATACTGAAATATTTTTGAGTTAAAAATTGTTGAAAGAGAATTAGAATTACTCGTTTTACTCAAATTTTGAAATTTGATATGCAGGTGCACACTCAAAACCCGATAGGTGTTTTATAGTCCAGAAGGAGTTAAAAAATGTGTTGACTACCTCTGCACAAAATAATACCACAAACTTATGGCAACATAAAGGTAAGTATTTGTTTAATGTTCAAAGTTGTGCAAACCTAAAATAAATTAAAAGAAACAGTTTATTAGTATCCAGTTATCCAACCATCTGCTAAGTTGAAAAAGTAAAATTATTATTAATGGGCAAAAATTGTTTAACAGAAAATCTTAGCTGGAAAAGCCAGTGGAGAACAAAATTTTATGATGTTCAAAAACTCATCCTCATTCACCTATTTTGGAAGCTACAGGTAGTCATTGGAAAATGAAGATTTCGAGATATACTTTGTCTTAAGTAACAAATCAAAAGCAATGATTTACATAAACTAGCAGAAATGCTACCCTACAGGCAGCTGTTCGTGCTAGTAATTACTACTGTTAGCATTTATCTCTCATTGAAAAAACTTTAGAAAAAAAAATGAGCACTTTCTAAAAAAAAGATTTTTCTGGGAAGTACTGCACAGTAAAAGAGTTCAGATTGTGATGATGCTTTTCTTTTTTGTAATGTTTTTCTATATTATAAATGGTAGTACTCTTTAATGTAAAAATAAATTTTTTTAAGAACCTCATCTTTTTAGTACTAAATTTATAAATTACATCAATAAAGATATAATCAAACCCTTACATACATCCCCAGTGAAAGTCGTGTTCTTGTTGTGAGGAGAGTACTTTTATTTAAAATTGTGTTATTTGATAAAGAAATGGTTGTTGCCCAAACCGTAGTTATTTTTCTAATTGTCTAAATTTTGAATATCCAAATTGTGAAATTTTTTTATGGATATTTGTTTGTGAATAGATGGTGCTACACAGTATTTATTATTTCGGTCACATACACCGATAGACATATATATATATATATATATATATACGCTATTATTTTAAGATGTAATATATATATACACACACACATATATATAAATATCAGAATATCGCATTTTTCAACAAAGTTTGTTTGTTTTGAATTTCGTGCAAGGCTGCACGAGGGCTATCTGCACTATCCGTCCCTAATTTAACAATGTAAGATTAGAGGGAAGGCAGCTAGTCATCACCACCCGCCGCCAACTCTTGGGCTACTCTTTTACCAATGAATAGTGGGATTGACCATCACATTACAATACTCCACGACTGAATGGGTAAGCATGTTCAGTGATGGGGATTTGAACCTGCAACCAGCAAATTATGAGTCGAGCCCCCAAACCACCATTTTTAACGTCATATTCTATATTAATTTTGCCTTTCTGCAATCAACTAAACAAAGAAGACAAA